ANNANNAAAAANANACTTTTAGTCATGNCTCTAACCTTTTCAGCATTCTCTTTTTCTCCCAGGAGGGTGTCCTCCTTATTGCTAAGTTTTGATGATTCACGTGTCATTTCTTGAGACAGTGAATCCACTTTCTCTGACAGAGTTTTTACTTCTCCCCCCATGCTGGCTTCCTTTGCCCGAGTCAGAGCTTTTATTTGTTTCTCAATTTCCTGTANTTCTACTTGTGTCTTCTCTNCTTCCTCGTCAATATTAGTGAGTTTNGCCTTTATTTCTTCAACCCCATGAANAGCATTGTCTCTGATCTTCTCTGCTTGAACATACTCNAANGCAATNCAGAACCTCTTTAGTCGATCCAATTCTGCATTACCATTAGCCCACTGCATATACTGCGCTTTTTCTTTCCTCAGTTTCTCTAAAGCCGGCAATATCTCATGATCTAAAAGCTTGTTTATCTCATCAACTTTTGTTTGCTTTTTCTCAAGCGTTTTCAATGCAGCTTCTTTCTTGTTTTCATACATTCTTGTTCCAGCAGCTTCCTCAAGCATGGATAGNATCTCGGGAGGTTTCATGTTCAAGACTTTGGTGATTCGTCCTTGCATGATGAGAAAGTGTGGATTGTTGACATTAAGCTGCACAGAGTGGAATAGATTCTGGACTTGACTTGGTTGTGCAAGCTTCCCATTTATCAAATACTTGTTCCGACCACCAACTACAATCTTTAACACCACAAGATTCAAAGGAAAAAAACACCAAAGTGAGCAAATAAAAGAACCATTTCTAATTGTCTGATGCAAAAATGTAATCCTAACAAAAACAGACCTAAAGGGATTCACAATCCAAACCCATGAATCTATCTACCTATCAAGAGTGGATTTCCAACTATCTAATTTTAAGAAGAACGAAAGAGGAAACATGAACCTTACTTGTCTAGTCACAGTAATCTCCGGATGCTCCTCGTAGCCGAGAGGGCTTCTGTGTCTCTCGGAATTGTCAAAGGTAACCGACACAGTGGCTTTAGTAATCCCAGCTTGTCCTTGCTTGTAAACGAGCTCTTGGAGATTAGCCGCTCGAACCTGTTGAAGATTGGTGATACCCAAAACGAAACAGATTGAATCGAGGATGTTGGATTTACCCGATCCATTCAAACCCGTTATCGCGTTGAAATGCGGATCGAAACCAGATACCACCGTCCTCATTGCGTATGATTTGAACCCTTCCAAACATATCTCTTTTATGTGCATCTTCTTCTTCTTTACCCAGAAATTTTTACGCACAGAAGGGAAAAAAAAAAAAAGCGAGAAAACCCTCGAAGATAAAGCTAAGTGGAAACCCAGAATCCGAAGAGCTTAAAATTGGAATGGAATATTGAAGGTAGGCGAAATTGAAACGTTGCAATAGACGAATCTGTTGTCAATTTTTACTTCTCTTCCAAATATTATTATTAGGAGTCTTGTAATTTTGGATCGAGGGCATTTCGATTTGGAGGAAAAAAATGCGGGAAATTGAATTTCAAATTAAAGTCGAACACTCCGGACCATCTAGAAAGTTCAAGTTTTTCTTTGGCAATAAGACCAACCATATTTTGGAAGCACTCAAAACACTAATGAGAACATTTTATTCAGGAGAATACATAAGATATCATCATATGTTTTTTAGCAATTTGTATGATATATCTCAAATCTGAGTGATACTTTTAAAAAATTATCTATTTTATATATGCTTATTTCCATCATATAAATGAAAATTTTGATATTAATTTTTTTTTTTTTTCAATCGTTTGAGTTATTGTATTAAAATCAAAATTTATGGTTCAACCAACAAAAACCAAGGAAAAAACAAATAATAACATCAAAACCCCGAACACCAAACCTTAACCATGTTGTAGTATTGCAACCACAATGGTCCTCCAAGGGCTAAGTATGAGTTGAAACGCCCATCCCGTGTAACACTCTTCGATATTTCTCGCGCAATCGAGTTTGCACCTATAGATTCCGCCTCAAACAAGCACAAGTATTACATTTTGTGAATAACAACTATATATGACAAAAATGAAAAAGATAAAAATGGCCACGAGCACTTAATTCACAGGCCCACGTAATTGGACCTTAGGTAGTTAAGTAATACGTGTAACCAAAATGCAACTATCATTTCACATAAACCGTCGCGACCCACTACGAGGAGTTATTTTAATTGTTTAAAACCTTTAGAAAATGAGAAGGAACAAAAGAAAATCACAATGGTTAAGAAGAGAATGACGACGAATGCGAAAACAAACATAATCTTGGAGAAGAAACTCGAAGAACTTGAGTGTTTGCTTGAAGAATTCGGTTCGGGCGATCGTGATCTTAATAATGCATACCGGGAAATCGAACACCGGTTTATTTTCATGCAGACCCTTTTAGCGGCGGAGATATCGTCGGTTA